ACTGTCGGAGGGTCGGCGCCGAGGGAGCGCCGCACTGTCGGAGGGTCAGTGCTGGTAACCCTGACGCCTGTGACTGGGATCTCTTTTTCTCTCGATCTGTTGCCTGTATCACCCTGGGGCTCGAACCTTCTCCTAGGTCCCTCTCCCCCCTCTCTCTCGATGCCACTGGCCTGACTGGGGCCTGTCTTCAGCACCGGTCCCGAAACACAGGCCGCTCCCTTACCCGCAATCCACCGCCCCGACTCCCTCCGCTTCACTAGCGCAGCGGCCGCTGGGATACTGGAGGAGCAGGGCCAGTCCTCCACCTGACGTCACGGAGAGTGAGGGAAGAGATTTTGGAAGAGTGCCAGCAGATAGGATTTTGGTAAATATATTATCAGTGGTCAAGAAGGGAAGGAGAGAAAACATATCAAATTTACACTAACATCGATCATCAGTCAAGTGTTGGACTCTAATAAAGAACACAACGATTCACTTACACAAACGTGATCAGAACAAGTCAATGTGGTTTTATGAAAGAGAAATCTGTTTGACAAACTGAGATTTTTAAAATGATGCAATTTAGTAGGATATACATCAGAGCAGTGGGATGCACTGAGAAGCGTAATAGTGAGACTACAGGACCAACATGCCCCTATAAAACTGAAGGGTGAGACCAAAGAGTGTAGAAAACCACGAATGTCAAAGGATGTACTGGATTGAATGAGTAGACAAAAAGGAAGCTGATGGCTCAAAACAGCAGTTGCCCTAAAGGAGTTTAGAAAATGAAGGAGCTTGCTTAAAAATGAACTTAGGAGAGTGAAGAGGAAACTTGAAAAAACACTAGTGGGTAATATTAACGAAAATGAAGGAAAACACTATGGGCCAACTGTGTGAAAATGGGATAGAATTGATGTATGTTCTGATGACTAGTGTGGACACAATGGGCTGAGGAGCTTCCTGCTCTTCATGCTGTAAAAACTTTATGATGCTTTGATGAATAAACAGGAACCAGTAGATACTTCAATTTCCAAAAAGCGTCATTCGATATGATGCCACATGAAAAGTTAATATACAAGTTCAGAGCTGATGGAGTTGGTGTGATATATTAGCATTTCTGGCAAGAAGGTGGCAGAGTTGGAAGCTCCACTTGTTCATTTTCCTTTGTCTTTTTTCTTTTTTTTTTAAGCAGACCTGGAGCAGTGCGAAGGGAAGCATGTCCCGGAGCAGAGAGGGGGCAATGAGTCTTGGAGATCCGAGAGAGGAAAAGCAAGTCCCGGAGCAGCGCAACTTACCTTGTTGCAGCTGAGTGCCACTGTGGAGCAAACTGGAGGCTTGGAACAGAGCAGGACTGTTGTTGAACTGGGGCCTGGTGTACACGGTCAGACCACGTGCTCGCTGAGCTGCTGCAATGTAATGTTGATCTGAAATTCTTTACTGGACTGTTAATGTCAATCCTTTAACTACGTTTTAACTATCTTAGTTATAAGTTTTCTTTTTAGACACTCCAAGTAATACCACTACTTTTCTTTTTAAAGATTTGTACTTGGGTACTTGTACCCAAGATGGTGCCATTAGGGGCAGCCATTGTGAAAACTTTTCACTGTATTCCTGTATTTCTGTACTGGAGTACACAATGACAATAAAAGATATTATATTCTGTTCTAGCATGGATAGAGGATTGGTTAATGGACAAGAAGCACAGGGTAGGGATAAACAGGATAACTAGTGCAGTGCTGCAAAGATTAATGCTGGGACCTTCATAATTTAAAATTTGTATTAATTACTTTAATATGCATTTGTGTAAGTATAGACGACCATAGGGGTCCAATCACCTGATAGAGTCATACAGCACGGAAACAGACCCTTCGATCCAACCAGTCCACATTGAGCATAAACCCGAACTAAACTAGTCCCACCTGCCTGCTCCTGGCCCATATCCTTCCAAACCTTTCCTATTCATATATCCATTCAAATGTTTTTTAAATGTTGTAATTGTACCCGCATCCACCACTTCATCAGGAAGTTCATTCCACACATGAACCACCCTCTCTATCTTTTTTAAATCTCCCTCCTCTCACCTCAAAAATGTACCCCCTGGTCTTGAAATTCCACAGCTTAGGGAAAAGACAACTACCATCAATTCTATCTATACCTCTCATTATTTTATAAACTTCTATTAGGTCACCTCTCAACCTCCTAAGCTCCAGTGAAAAAAGTCCCAACCTATCCAGCCTTTCCTTATTATTCAAACCTTTCATACCTGGCAACATCCTGGTAAATCTCTTCTGAACCTTTTCCAGCTTAATAATATCCTTCCTATAACTGGGCAACCAGAACTGGACACAGTATTCTGGAAGAGGCCTCACCAATGTTCTGTACAACCTCAACATAACATCCCAGTTCCAATACTCAAAGGACTGAGCAACGAAGGCAAGTGTGTCAAATATCTTTTTAACCATCCTGTCCATATGTGACACAAACTTTAAAGAATTACATACCTGCACCCCTAGGTCCCTCTGTTCTACAACACTACCCAAGGCCTGACCATTAATTGTATAAGCCCTACCCTTGTTTGTTGAACCAAAATGCAATACCTAGCATTTATCCAGATTGAACTCCAGCTGCCATTTTTCAGTCAATTGACCCATTTGATCAAGATCCCTTTGTAATCTTAGAAAACCTTCTTCACAGTCTACAATGCCACCAGTTTTGGTGTCATTCGCAAACTTACTAACCATGACATCAGCCAATTCAGGCAGGAAAGAGTCTAACCTCGTTGGACACAGAGTAAACATCTACATAATAAAATTCCTGCAGTTTAACACTTCAGCCACTGGATCCTTCTTAGAATTTTACACAAAAAGACTGGCGACAAGAATAAAAACTGCTTCAGACCAACCTGGTCAATCTGCTCATTCATTGAAACAAAAAAAAAATCACGGTTGCCAATGCAGACCTCAGAGCTACTTCGATAAGTCCTCTGGCACCACACCTGTTGCTGTAGATGATACAAATATCTAATCTAGGGGCCCCACAATTTCTTCCCTAGCTTCCCACAATGTCATGGGACACATTTGATCCAGTCCTAGGGGTTTATTTATGTGTTTTAAGACTTCCAGACCTCCTCTTCTGTAACGTGGATACTTTTCAAAACGTCACTGTTTATTTCCCTAGTTTTGATGTCTTCCTCCACAGTTAGTACTGAGGCAAAATATTTATTTACTGTCTTGCCCATCTCCTGTGGTTCTACACAAAAATGGCCTCATTGATCTTTAAGGGGCCCTATTTCTCTCCCTCCTTTACCCTTAAAGTACTTAAAGAATCTCTTTGGATTTTCCTTAACCTGATGTGCCAAAGCTATCTCATGTCCCCTTTTTGCCCTCCAGATTTCCCTTGAGTGTACTCCTACACTCCCTACACTTCAAGGGATTCACTTGATCCTAGCTGTCTATACCTGATAACATGCCTCCTTCTTTTTCTGGACTAGAGCCTCAATATCTCTAGCAGATACCAAGAACTGCAGATGCTGGAGTCAGAGTCAATACAGTGTGAAGCTGGAGGAACACAGCAGGTCAGGCAGCATCAGAGGAGTAGGACAGTCAATGTTTCGGGCCTAGACTCTTCATCAGAACTGGGGAGGGGGAAGGCAGCTGGGAAATAAATAGAGGAAAGAGGGGTGGGGCTGGGGGAAGGTAGGTGGGATAGTGATAGGTAGATGCAGGTAGGGGGTGTCGAGGGGATTGGTCAGTGGGAAGGGTGGGGTGGATAAGTGGGGAAGGAGATGGACAAATAGTGTCAGGTCAAGGAAGCAGGGATGAAAGGGACGGTTGGACATGGGATTAGGCCAGGGGTGGGGAGATTTAGAAACTGGTGAATTCTATGTTTAGGCCAACAGGCTGTAGGCTCCCAAGGCAGAATATGAGGAGTTGTTGTTCCAGTTTGCACGTAGCATCATTGTGGCACTGGAGGAGGCCCAGGATGGACATGTCACCCAAGCAGTGGGAGTGGGAGTTAAAATCGTTACGAAGAGGCAGGCATAGCTCGGACCCATATGGGTGCCCATTGTCATCCCTTTGGTTAACATTTATAGACAATCAGCAGATACTTTACGAGTTAAAACTCAAACTCTTCATAAATTTCCCTCCTTGGACACATATACAGACAGGAACAAAAAGAACATGGATGTTATGGGTGGGGGGATAGACTGGAATAACAGTTCACTATACACTGAGACAGTCCTTTTGGTTTGTCAGAGCATGCTGTTGCTTGATTCTCCTTCTCCATATGCTTCCATTTGTTTGCAGGAGGCACAGGGTGATTGGTTCACACTTATAAAGGTCTGTGACTCATCAGTTAAAAGTCACAACTTAAAGAACTGGAAAGGGGAGGTAAACTGGCTCTCTTCAGAATTAATGTGCCTTTTTTTTCCAAATGCAGAGGAAAAACTGCTCCTTGCCTTTCAGAGGTCCAATGGTTTCTGCCAAAACATTCACACCCCATATTGCCAGCTATCTGGGAGCCAATGACTTAGCTACTGGCAGGCAAAAAACCTTTGTCATTGATAGCTGGTCAATGGTTCAAAGACCAATCTGCTACTTTTTAATCAGGCAAAGCTTCATTTGTAGACACCCCTTGGCTCTAGCTCATTTGCAAACTGTGCTTCCACTACTGCTTTGTGAACTGTACTTACAATAAGTGTCAGGTTAATGACATTTCTAATCAACATTTTTAGAAATGTCATTACACACCTCTGGAACAGGTGGAACTTGAACTCGGGCTACCTGGTTCAAAGAACAAAGAAAATTACAGTACAGGAACAGGCCCTTCGGCCCTCCAAGCCTGCGCCGATCCAGATCCTCTATCTAAACCTGCTGCCCATTTTCCAAGGATCTGTATCCCTCTGCTCCCTGCCCATTCATGTATCTGTCTAGATACATCTTAAATGACGCTATTGTGCCCGCCTCTACCAACTCTGCTGGCAACGCGCTCCAGGCACCCACCACCCTCTGCGTAAAGACCTTTCCACGCATATCTCCCTTAAACTTTTCTCCTCTCACCTTGAAATCGTGACCCCTAGTAATTGAGTCCCCCACTTTGGGAAAAAGCTTCTTGTTATCCACCCTGTCTATACCTCTCATGATTTTGTAGACCTCAATCAGGTCCCCCCTCAACCTCCGTCTTTCTAATGTAAATAATCCTAATCTACTCAACCTCTCTTCATAGCTAGCGCCTTCCATACCAGGCAACATCCTGGTGAACCTCCTCTGCACCCTCTCCAAAGCATCCACATCCTTTT